ACACACACACACACACACACACACACACACACACACACACACACGTCAAGCCCTATCACCCAGAGCTATTCATGACTTCCTATTTCTTTTAGAAAACAAATGCAGAAGTCCTTACAAGGTGCCGGACAAGGCTCACATGTCCCTTCCTACTGTTCCCTGCTTGCATATTCTGCACCTTCCTGCATTTCCTCATGACACCACTCAAGGTAATGTTTCAGGTCCTTTGCACATTCTTCTGTGCAGACACAGAATGTTCTTCTCACAGCTACTAGCATAGCTTCAGCCCTTGATGCCTTAATCCCAAGGTCACCTCCCCAGTAAGACCTCCCATGAATTTCTTCTTGACCATGGGAGCCTTCCTGGGGCTTCTGGTTCCCTTTACCCTGCTCTATTTTTTTCCATTTGTAATAGCATGTGACTTTCTACCATACTATATATAGTTTACTTACCCATATGATAATACTTTGTTATTTGTCTTCCACTGAAAAATGTAAGCACCATATGCCCAGGATTTCTACTTATTCCACTCCTTTATTCTATATACCTCAAAGAATACTCGATTGATAGTAGACTTCATATAGACCTGTGGACACTCCAGTGTTCACAGCTGCAGTGGCAAGAAATTCTCAAATTTATATTGGAATTTTTGTTTGTTTGTTGTTGTTGATAGTGGTGGTGGTGGTGGTAATAGTGGTGTCAGTATGTAGCACAAGTTGGCCTTGAACTCACTTCAGTTTAAACTCAATGTGATAGCTAACATCTGTAATCCTAGCTACTTAGATGATAAAGATAGGAGATTCAGAGTTCAAGGCATACTTGAATAAAATAAATAAAAATTATCAAGACTTTAATAAATAAAGCTGGGTTAGCTGAACACTGGTGGTTTGTGCCAGTAATTCTTTTTTTTGTTGTTGGTCATGGGGCTTGATCTCTGGGCCTGAGTGCTGTCCCTCAGCTCTTCAGCTCAAGGCTAGCACTCTACCACTTGAGCTATAGCACCACTTCCGATTTTCTTGTGGTTTATTGGGGATAAGAGTTTCACGGACTTTTCTGCCCGGGCTGGCTTTGAACCAGGATCCTCAGATCTCAGCCTCCTGTGTAGCTAGGATTACAGGTGTGAGCCACTGGTGCCCAGCTTGTGCTGGTAATTCTTAACTATTTAGGAAGCTGAGATCAGTAGGATTTTGGTTCTAGACCAGCTCCCAGGGAAGAAAACTCCACAAGACTCCAGCTTAACAGAAGAAATAGGGCATAGTGGCATATACATATCCCAGTTATAATGAACATCTTAAAATAGATGGATCTTTGTCTAAGTACATCCTAAGACAAGAAGTGAGATTCTCTCTCATAAATAACTGACACAAAAAAAGAACTAGAGGCATGGCTCAGTGGTAGACCATTTGCCTGCCTCAAGTATGAGTCCCTGAGTTCAAAACTCCAGTACTTAAAAGAGAAAATAAAAAGCTTGGTATAATAGAGTACACCTGCCATCCCAATCCTAGCTACTAGCAAGGTAGGTGGAAGGATCACAGTTTGAGGCCAGCCCAGGCAAAGTTACTAAGACCCTCTCTTAAAAAAACAAAAATTGGCCAGGCGCTGACGGCTCATGCCTGTAGTCCTAGCTACTCAGGAGGCTGAGATCTGAGGATCAAAGCCAGCCTGGGCAGGAAAGTCTGTTAGACTCTTATCTCCAATAAACCACTAGAAAACCAGAAGTGGTACTATGGCTCAAGCGGTAGAGCACTCACTTTGAGCTGAAGAGCTGAAGGATAGCACCCAAGCCCAGAGTTCAAGCCCCACGACCAACAAAAAAAAAATTATACAAGGATCTAGGGAAAGCAGAGCATAGCTCAAGTGGCAGAGGTTTGCCTAGCAAACTTGAGATCCTCAGTTCAATATCACAAACAGACACAAAAATTGTACAATTAATGGGATACCATGAGATTTTCAATACATGTGTGCATTATGTAAAGTCCAAATCAGGATGGTATTATTATTTCTTGGTGATAAAAACATTTAAATCCCTGTGTCTGGATTTTTTTTGAAACATACAACACATGATCATCAGCTATTCCCACTTACTGTAGAGCAGAGCTCCTCCTATTTCACCATAACTTATTAAGTCATTAACCACCTTCCCCTCCTGCTCCCTTGCTTCTCCCCTCCCTACCTCCCTTGCTTCCTCCCCTACCTTGTTTCTGGTAGCCATTATTCTCTTCTTGGCTTCTCTGAGATCAGCCTTTTTGGACTCCACATGGGTAAGATCTGTGGGATTCATCTTTATGCCTGACTTATTTCACTGACCACAGTGTCCTCTAAAATGAAGACCGAAGAAATATGTACTCAATTCATTATCTGAGAAGTATAGATCTAAAGGATTGAATGAATGAAATAGAATTTTTTCCTGGAAAAGATTAGAAGTACATGTAGCAACCATATTTATATATTTTCAGAACTGAATGCAGCAGATATGTTGATATATTCTCAGTTATTTTCAGAAGACTGAAGGTGGAGTAGTATGCACCTGTATACTCCACTATTTTAGAGACTAAGAATATACCTCTTCAAGCCCGGCACCAGTGGTTCACGCCTGTAATCCTAGCTATCAGGAGGCTGAGATCTGAGGATCACGGTTCAAAGCCAGCCTGGGCAGGAAAGTCCGTGAAACTCTTATCTCCAATAAAAACCACCAGAAAACCGGAAGTGGCACTGTAGCTCAAGTGGTAGAACGCTAACCTTGAGCTGAAGAGCTGAGGGACAGCATTCAAGCCCAGAATTCAAGCCCCATGACCGACCAAAAAAAAAAAAAAGAATATACCTCTTCATAAATAGATAATATTGGTGATAGCTGTATCACTGATAGGATTCATGATAAAAATGGCCCTTTTCATTTCAATAACAGCAGAGGAAAAAACTGAACTTCAAAGAAAATGAGGTACTAGGATACAAATCATGTCTTATTTATGCAGAAAAAAAGTTATCTATCTGTCCCCGGTTTTCAAGTGGAATTGTATTTAAATCATTTCCAGGTACCCTTCAGTACATGGCACCAGAGATCATTGATAAAGGCCCGAGAGGCTATGGGAAGGCAGCAGACATTTGGTCTTTGGGCTGCACAATCATCGAAATGGCCACAGGAAAACCACCATTCTATGAACTAGGAGAGCCGCAAGCAGCCATGTTCAAGGTCGCATTTTCTTCTTTTTTTTCTTTTCTTTGTGTGTGTGCTCCTCACGCACACATACGCTGGTACGGGGCATGAACTTGGGGCCTAGGCTCTTTTTGCTCAAGGCTAAAGCTCTACTACTTCTGGGTTTTTGGGGTGCTTAATTGGAGATAAGAATCTCACAGACTTTTCAGCCTGTGCTGGCTTTAAACTGTGACACTCAGATCTCAGCCTCCGTAGTGGCTAGGATTACAGGCATGAGCCTATAATTTTCTTCTGTTTCAAAACCGAGGAGATAAGGGTTTCCATAACCATGTTCTATATATACATGCTTTTTAAGGAAAATATCTCGAGTAACCAGAAGTTGAAAGCACATTCAAGTTCAAGAAGACAGACAGACAGACAGACACACACACACACAGACACACACACACACACACACTCATTGCCCTCGTCTCACATGGTTGACCTGCCTCTGCTTTAGTTTTCTCAATTCTGAAGTGAGATTCAGGATAATATTCTTCAACTACTCAATATCCCAGAATAAGATGAGTTACGCTCTTTTGGGAAACCATATGAATATTTTTCCACATAGGGCAATGTAAGATATATTTGTGTTTTTTTTTTTTTTTTTGCCAGTCCTGGGTTTTAACTCAGGGCCTGGGCACTGTCCTTGAGCTCCTTTTGCTCAAGGCTAGCACTCTACCATTTGGCCACAGCACCACTTGGGGCTTTTTCTGTGTATGTGGTACTGAGGAATTGAACCCAGGATTTCATGCATGCAAGGCAAGCACTCTACCTCTGAGCCACCTTCCCAGTCCTATTTATACTCTTAACATCTAGAAATTCAATCAAACTGATATTTTCCTTTATTTCTTGACCATATAAATTTCAAAAGTCCATTTTTTTAAAGCGCATAATTGCCGTTTTGTAAAGGTCAACCATTTTCAAGTTTATTCTAGCCTGTTAACTTGCTAATAAGCAATTCTTTAGCGAGGGGAAGCATGCTTCCCCGCCCCTCCAGCCATGATTAGAGGCACTGACATGGAAATAAACATGAGTGAGTCCAGGTGCCACGATTTGGACACCTGAACAGTGAGTGAGGCAGTGACCTGACTGTACTGGGCCAGCAGGAAGTTTTCCATGGTAACTGTTTCCTAGGAAGCAAAGCCCTCCTACATGTTACCTTCTGTTCTTGGCAAGTCCTTCCAGTTTTCACCATTCTCAGGTTTCACTCTGAAGTGCTGTTCTACTACTACTAGTGCAGTGATTATTATTGTTACACCTCTGTATGCCATAGGCCAGGCTGAGCTGTGCACAGAAGTGACACTGTCTCTAAGAGATGATATTACATAGATTCTACAATGTTTAAATCTAGGCTGAATTGAAACACTTCTGAATCCTGGCTTTAACATGATCAAGATAGTTGAGACTTTGAGCAAATTACCACCTCAGCTTCCATGTCTATAGAGGGAGATAAAAATAATACCTAAGGACTTGCCTAGCAAGTGTAAGGCCCTATGTTCAAAGCCAAATCTCTCTCTCTCACACACACACAAAATAGTACTTATCTAAACAGATTTTTGAGATTTTGAGCACTTAGAATAGTGACTTAACACATAGTAAAACACCATAATTATTAAAAATTGTTTATATAAGAATATATATAAGCTATAGAACAACAGAAATATTTCTTAGAACATTTTCTCTTCATTAAATATGTGAAAACATCATTAGACTTTTTTTTAGAATGATAACAATGTGATAGAAAATACTATTTATTTAATCTTTTCTTTTTTGTCGGTATGGGGCTTGAACTCTAGGCTTGTGATAGAAAATACTATTTATTTAATCTTTTCTTTTTTGTCGGTATGGGGCTTGAACTCTAGGCTTGGGTGGGCACTGTCCCTCGTTCTTCAGTGCAAGGTGAGCACTCTACCACTTGAGCCACAGCGCCACTCTGGTTTTTCTAATGGTTTTATTGGAGATAAGAGTCTCACGGACTTTCCTGCCCAGGCTGGCTTTGAACCGTGATCCTCAGATCTCAGTCTCCTGGGTAGCTAGGATTACAGGTGTAAGCCATCAGCACCCAGCTATTTATTTAATCTTAAAGTACTTTTTTATGGTATTGGCATTTGAACTTATGACTTCATGCTTGCTAGACAGGGATTCCACTGCATGAGCCATGCCATTAGCCCTTTTTGCTCTAGTTATTTTGAGATAGGATCTTACTTTTTTGCCCAGGACAAAGTAGACCTCCATCTTCCTATTTATGCTTTCTGCCATAGCTGGGTTGACTGGTGCTTGCCACCATGTTCACTTGATGGTTAAGATGGAGTCTTTTGAACTTCCCCTAACTTCCCATTCTCTCCATCTCTATCTCCCAAGTAGCTAGGATTAGAGATATGATCCACTGCCTAGCTAAAAATCTCTCAATGTAGATGATTTAAAATAGGGAAAAAATTCACAAATTACATAATAGGGGAATCAACATAGGCTTTAATCCAATCCAATCAAGGTTTAATTCCCAGATCTACCTTTCCATAACCACGTAACCTCATTTCTCCTGAGCCTTAGTTTCCTCGTTGGTGTTAGGAGAATAATATTTACACTACTGGGTGGTTGGGGAAAATCCCAGCACTGTACCTTCACATTACTATTCTCAGCAACTCAACGGTCTCATCTACAAACATCTTTGTGGAGTAACAACCTTCAAACATATTCTAAGTTTAGAGAGCCTTATATTAACACAGCAATGTATAGTACTTCATAATGCTGTCTTCTGTCTTAAGCTAATTGTTCCTTGTGTATCTGTGGTAGAGTTACAGTAGCACTGGAGAAGTTTCTGTGCTCAGGAGGTGCTGCGTAGCTACAGAGGCAGCACGTCCGCCTCACGTGGAGATGTACCTGCAGGGTACATGATGAGGGAGAGGGGTCAGGCAGGTCATGGGTCCTGGAGCTCACGTGATGAAATGGCCACTTGGAAGACACATTGTGTTCTGTCTGTGCCTTAGGTGGGGATGTTTAAAGTTCACCCTGAAATCCCTGAGTCCATGTCTGCAGAGGCCAAGGCATTCATACTGAAGTGTTTTGAACCAGACCCTGACAAGAGAGCCTGTGCTAATGACTTGCTTGTTGATGAGTTCTTAAAAGTTTCCAGCAAAAAGAAAAAGACACAACCCAAGCTCTCAGGTATGTGGCTGCATGAAAAGGATATGGGTCAAAAGGAGGATGCTCTTAGAGGCAAGACACAAAGATACAATGCCTATGTGCCTCGGATTATGTTTGTATTTATTGAAATGAACTCCAGGAAATGGAAACAAGAGTTTGTGGGGGGGGGTTGTTGTGGCTTTTATTTTATTTTCTTTTTGTCTTGTTTGTTCAGTTATCAGTTATTTGGGAAAGTGGGGGGGCACAGAAATGGAGGGACAAAGGGGGAAAAACGTAGCAGTGGTACTCAGTGGACACTATGTTGAAAATGAACTACACAGCTTGTGAGTGGGGATGGGAGGGAAAAACTGGGAGAGAATGAGGGAAGGGTTGATATTGTCCAAAAAGAAATGTACTCCTCTTTATCTGACTTATGAAACTATAACCCTTCTGTACCTCATGTTTATAATGTTTTTTAAGGATATATGGGTCAGAGTCTCTAAATTCTGAATTTTAACATGAGAGAATTTTCTAGAAGTAGACTAACCTGTTTCTGAACATCACTGGCACAGTGTTCTTGGACACTATTCACAAATGCTAGTTTCTCATTAATAGTCGTGTTCCATCACACAGCTTGTAATTAATACAGCAACATCTGGGACATTCTAGCATTGTGAATACAAAGGTTAATGTGTGAAAAGGGGAAATGTAGCCCCTCCAAGCTGAAACCTCAAATTCCCATGAATGGGCTACAGGGCTGCTCAGAACTGTTCAACTTCCACGCCATCGCAGGACTGGATCCTTATAGTTGTCTGTAGAAGGAAACACCCGCTTTCCCTCAGACAGTATCTTTCTGACTAATCCCCAGAAGAAAAAAAGAGATTGTTACCTATGATAAAAATGTAAGTAAATTATCTTTGTGTAACAAATAATTTACATAACTCATTCCAGAAAGAAACAAATGAGTAAAGGCTCAATTTATTTTTGGCATTTGGGGTGTTTCTATTGGATGAGGATGGGCAGATTGAATATTTGGAAAGCTCAGGGATCCCACTTCAAGCATGCACTGTTTGTTGATTTCTGATTAATAACAAAGCCAACATGTGCCTCATCCTGCTGTTTGCTTTTCTTCCCACAGTTCTTTCTACTGGATCCAATGGTGAGTTTGTTTTTTACCTTATGTCCATTGAGTTGAGGATTGGCATGTGGTGTGATAAACTCCGCTGCACAGCCTCATCCTCGCCCATTGTCTGTGTGGGAAGCTTCTGAGTACTAAGAATGTGTGCAGCTCTGAACCTGGCTGGCTTCAGTGTTTCAGAAACTGCTCACCTATCTCTTCTATGAAGGAGGCCTCAATTATTGTCCCCTGCATGCAAGAGAGTGCCATTGTTTTTTAAGTCGTCAATTTGAATGAAGTCCATGCCTTCTTATTTAGGAGCCAGCTGACAAGCTGACCACCTAATGGTGGCCATTGTAAAAGGTCAGCATCAGGCACCTTCCTCAGTCGTCTGTGGGATAGTACCTTCTTTCTGAAGTGGGTCAGGAAAGCTTATTTGTTTCCCTAATCGGCTTTTAACCAGATTTGCTCTGGGAAGTTCAGCCAAAGTATTTTAAAGAATAGTAAAGAAGCATTCAGAGTTTGGGATTCTATTAGATTAGATGAGTAGTTGATGGAAGTGGAGTATATTGGATGAATGAATGTATAGGTCTAACAGAAGAAGTGGGGGGAGTCTAATACTTATTTTGTATGCATAGTATGGTCCAAAGGGAGGAGACGCAGGTCTTTGCATGCGTTTCAGTTTTTCAGATATGCTAAGCCAGTCAATGCACTTTTGAGGCCCATTACTTGGGGGTTCCTGGGAACTATCTCTCTATTTTTCCTCCTACCATTATGAATTTTTGATGAAGAGTTTCTGAGAAAGGCAAGATACCTCCCTCTGCCATTGCCTGCTTCCTCCCCTCATATTCTGGGCTGTGGAAATCAGTGAGTCACTACATTTTTTTTTAACCAGGTATAACCTCCAGTGTTTCTCAGCCTTCTGAGCGAGCATCCTGTTGGCATACATGGAAGTTGGTTTTCATTTTTTGCAGCCACTTTCTAGATATATATGTGATAGCTTACTTGTTTTAGCTGTCACTCTAGTGTCACTCTGATCCCTTCCATGTGGCCTGGGTTTTGCTCACAGGAAACAAGTTCCTGTCACACAAGCATTTAACTTCTGTGGACTCAGTTATGCACACTGTTGAGTTGGCAGTTCCCAGTGAGCATTGCCAGAGTGAGGGTGTGATGGAAGGTTACATCCACTGAACTGGTCAGTTGTGCCTTCATGTACATTCTCACCTTTGTGCTCAGGCTGATTCAATAGGAGTTTGGAATCTGCTCTGTCTTTACAATGTAATTCCACTTAAGATATTATAAAATCTTGAGGATTTATAGTCAGGGAGGGTGAGTATTAAGCACACATCTGGGTTCCCTTGTTGACTGGTGGGCCTTGAACATGACTCACTCTGTCACCACATCTGTCCAGTGGGTTCAACTGCACTACCTGCTCATGGGAGTGTGGGGAGAAAATGAGACACTTATTCTCACTGCAGCTCTATACTACTTGCTCTGGACCCCTGATCAAGGTACTAATTTCTTAGTACCTTGTTGGTACCAAGAGGCTTGTTAGAAGTTGTGGGCAATAGCCTGAAGGTTCCCTACCCTTCTCCTAAGGGCCTCCTGATTTTCCAAAGTCAAAACTGCCCTAGGCCTCCTGATGCGCTGGACCTTTTACCTGCTAGTATATATCTCTCCTTGCTCTGCCTTCTCTCCTTTCCTAGTTAAGACAAAGACTTGGGCCTATAAAGAATGGACACTCCCACAATCTACACATACAGATTCTCAGCTGAAGGAATTTCTTTGCATGAACGAGATGGTCCTGAGTGCTTCTCTATCCTCCCAAGGAAAGCAAAACATGTACCAAACTAACTAGGAAGGAAGCCCCATACAATTGTTTTCTGGTATTCCTGAGACCTTCAGAACTCCTTGCAAACTATAACCATGAGAACATCCTGGTCTTCCTGTTCTAGATCAGTAGGTGCAACAGGCATTTTCCTTTCCCCATTGTCCTTTATATGCCTGTTTCTTTCTAGAGTATACCCATTGCCCTGCCTGAGGGTCTCTGCCTTCTATAACTGCATGTGGCTTCTGCTAGGGAAAGTTGTGGAAAGGTGATGATGATGAGGTCCTCTTTTTCCTATGATGAGAAATATATCTTAGTCCTTTTCTGTTGCTATGACCAGATAGCACACATTAGATCATTTATAAGACAAAGAGGCTGATTTAGCTCCCAGTTCTGGAGGTTCAGAAGCATGGTACCAGTGTCTGCTTCAGAGCTGTTGAGTGCCTGCTTTGCCGGCGGGGGCTCTCTCTCAAAGTCCCAAGATGGCGCCCAGCATCACATGGGAAAACAGAGCCAAAAAGGCAGAGAGAGACCATTTTTATGACAAAGCCATTCCTACCTAACCCATTAATTCTCTAATCCACTAATTCTTTGGTGGAACTCCATGCAGCATCTACCATCATGACCCAGTCACCTAACAGTTCCACGGGATGTCACTTGTGAATACCTCATAGCAGAAGTGAAGTTTGGCCATGAGTTTGGGTGGGATATTTGAACTATAGCACATGAATGATTTGTCTAAACCCAACAGCTCCCCCAGAAACTGCGTGCAGACCCAGAGATTTAAGTCATCCACTTTAACTTAAGCATTTATTGCATACTTGCTGTGTGCACAGGAAATGTGCCAGGCCTGGATGTTTAATGATGATAAAGGTTGTGGTCCTGGCTTACGGAGCTATTGCTGATGTAGAGGAGACACAGGGGACAAATGTCAACCATACCTTAGTATAAGTTACTCTGTACAAAGAAAACTTCAGAGGGGGAGAGCCTCAGTGAAGTCAGTCTGAGTGTGTGAGTTCCGTGAAGACTTTCTGTGGGGTGAGACCTGAAGAATCAAGATGGCCATCCAACAAATGGTCTATGTTCAGTCACTGTATATTGGATGAATGGATGTATGGCCTAACAGAGAAGGAAAATCAGGTTTACTAATTTAAAATCAGTCAGAGAAGGGACCAAGACTGTACATTCAGAGACTGCAAAACATCTGCAAATCTATTTCTGAGATGAGCCATAATGACACACACTGGGTTCCATTCTTCAGTGTATTCAGTCTTACTTCAACCAGTCTCCTTTTAGGCAATCAGTATCTATAGCAACCTTAAAATTCACAGATAGAACGTAGGCTCTGTCATTACTGGAAAGCAAACTACATAATAAGACCAAAAGAGTAAAAAGCAGTATAATTAAGGCCTCCTTCTTTCTTGTGTTTAGATGAAGATACATGCAAGGTGTAAAGAACTTTCATGTGGTAGTAGTCTAGATAGAACAAACCTGCTTGGCCCCAAGAAATATTGATTCTGTTTTCTAAATACAGTCCCTCCACTTCTTTTTCTTTTTTATCTTTAGATTTGTGTACGAGGGTTTGAAATTAGGGCCTCACGCTTGTTGGCTTGCTTGCTTGGCTGGCACTCTACCACTTGAGGCATGCCTCCCGCCCTTCTTTTTGTTAAGGAGTTTTCTGCCCAAGCTGGCTTTGAACCTCAGTCCTGTGGATCTCAGCTTCCCATGTAGCTAGAATTACAGTAGTGAGCCACAGCTCACCTCCATCTCTGACGGCTGTACATACTGTAAAGAGTATCACCCATGTCTGGACTGGTAAAGAAGCTATGAGCCTCCTGGAACATGTCTGTCTTTCCTCTGATCTCTGAGATGTGGGCAGTTGTTGACTTGTCCCTGCTCAAGAAAAATTAAATAAGAGGTTTCTAGGCAACAGTGGATTTCTCTTTTTAGAACTTTACACCTGCCTTCTTTAGCAAAAGATGTTTGCAGCACTGAGATATTAAAGAAGTTTTTGGCAAAAGTTATTCTTTTTATAGTCAATGTTTGATGAAATGTAGGCAACTGCTATTGTGTTACATGACTCAGTAAAATAGAAGCCCCTGTTTGCTATAAAATCCTAGTACTCATAGTATCTGAGAACCAGGAAGGGCTAAAGTCCCTTAGTTTCCAAAATTTTGTGCACAAAGAGTGCTTTTTCAATGTATCTGTAAGCTGAACCATGACATAAGTTGTCAGAGCATATTTGTTTTAAGTAAAACAGGACTAGATCCTGTGGTTTAGACCCACAGCACCCCACTTAGTCACCCCTTCTTTTTCTTTTTCTTCTTGGTCAGTTGTGGGGCTTGAACTCTGGGCCTGGGTGCTGTCCCTCAGCTCTTCTTCTCAAGGCTAGCGCTCTACCACTTGAGCCCCAGCACCACTTCCAGTGTTCTGGTGGTTAATTGGAGATGAGATATGCCGTCTCACCCAGTTTTTAAAAAGCTGTGCATAGTGGCATGCACCTATCTTCCCAGATATGTTGGGAGTATAAATAGGAGTATTTCTGTCCAGGGCCATTTAGGCAAAAATGGAAGACTCTATTTAAAAAAAAAAACAAAAATGATTGGAAATATGATTCAAGTGGTAAAGCACCAGCCTACCAAGTACAAGGCCCTGAGTTAAAACCCCAATACCACTGAAAGTAAATAATGTATCTCATCTTTTATAGATATGAAAACTGTGAGTACAAATAATTAAGTCATTATTTAAAACAAGGCAGATCAACACCCTGGCTCTCCAGGCCTGATCTTTTCTTATGTTTGTCACCCTTGAGCTATTCCCAGCAGGACCGCAGAGGCCCTTTCCTAGCAGACGCTCGCCTGGGCTGTACTGAGCAAGGGAAGAATTATAATAGCCTCATGTAGTACCATTGTGCTGCTCATGAAATATTTGACAAAGGATGCTCGTCTCTTTCAACCAGTGTTTCAACCAATGTGTCAAGTTTTTGAGATCCTTAATTACCCTATTTCCTCCTCCCATCCCCGCAGAGTATCTTAGGAGCATCTCCTTGCCGGTCCCTGTCCTGGTGGAGGACACCAGCAGCAGCAGTGAGTACGGCTCAGTGTCACCCGACACAGAGTTGAAGGTGGACCCCTTCTCTTTCAAAACCAGAGCCAAGTCCTGTGGAGAAAAAGATGTGAAAGGAATACGGACGCTTTTTTTGGGGTAAGGATTCAACTTCTTTCGGGTGAAAATACATTGTGCTTATAATATCCTAGCTCCTCAGGAGGCTGAGATCTAAGGATTGCAGCTTGAAGCTATCACAGGTAAATTCACCAGACTCTCCTCTCCAAAACTCAGAAGTAGAAGTGTGTGCTTGAAGTGATAGAGTGTCAGCTAAGCAAGAGTGCAAGATCTTGAGTTGAAATCTTAAGACTGGCGTGCACGCGTGCGTTCAACACACACACACACACACAAAACACTGCAAAGCACATTGTTTTATAAAGGAAACTGATTGATGTTGCATGCATTTTTAAAGCATTCCTGATGAAAATTTTGAAGATCACAGTGCCCCACCTTCCCCTGAGGAGAAAGACTCCGGATTCTTTTTGCTGAGGAAGGACAGTGAAAGACGAGCCACCCTTCACAGGATCCTGACTGAAGACCAAGACAAAGTTGTGCGAAACCTAATGGAATCTTTAGTCCAGGTAAAGCATCTCGTGTCCATCTCATTTCCCAAAGTTTATGTTCTTTTATTGTCCAGGCTGGCCTTGAACTCCTGAATTCAAATGATCCTCTAGTTCAACCTCTCAGGTAGCTTGAACTATAAGCTTAAGCCATCATACCCAGCCCAAAATCTGTGTTTGTGTGTGCATGTTGCACACACATGCATGTGTGTATACATATGTGTATTCAGGGCCTTGAGCTTGCTGGGCTGACACTCTACTGTTGAGGTCTGCTGCCTCCAACCCTTTTTTCCTAATTTTTTTTTCCTGTGCTACTGGAGATTGAACTCAGAGCCTCACAGTTGTTAGGCAAATGTTCTACCACTCAAATTGTGCCTCCAGCCCCACTTCACATTGGTTATTCGCAAGGTAGGGTGTTGCTTTATGCCTCGTCTGCTTTCTGAACAAGCTTTGACTTGGTCCTAATGGAAATCTATCGCTAGCAGTTAGACTTAGGCTAGCAAGAAGGTGAGAGGTAGCTAGGTAGGAGTAGGGTGTGGGTTGAGAATACTAGACAGTCCCACTGTGGTCCAAAGGACTAAGAATAGGATGGTTCTGATAAGAGAAGCTCGATGTAAATGGAGAACAACTGGCCAGCACTTGGAGTGCATTCCTTCCTTCACCAAACTCTTTACTAGTCACCTTCAAATGCTAGGTGCTTCAGGATACCATGAACAAAACAAAATAAAATCTGCACCCCACAGAAGTTGTCATCCTAGTAAAGGAAAAACTAAAATTAGCTAATTATATATTAAATGTGTAGTAATTATAACAAACAAGAGATGCCTGAGTCAAGTCTTGTTCATAGTCCTGTTCGTACGTATTTGCTCGTTGAATCCTCATGATGGTTACATTAGTGTCCTTATCTATAAGGCTCATAGAACTTAAATAGCTTGCTGAGGTTCTGCAGTCCTAAGTGGTGAAATCAGGATTTGGAAGCAGGCAACCTGACTTTGTGTGGTGTACTCTTAACCAGCATTGTATTCTGCTCTCTCCTGTGGCCTATGGAGACAGATTCTGGGAGAAAACAGCAAGAATGTCAAAGGACAGAATGACTCTTAGCCACCATGGAGGGAAGACTTTTCCTTTGCCACTAGTTTAGAAACGTGTAGAATCCCAGAATTGCCCAAATCCTGAAAGCATATCCTAGAGGTAAAGTTTTCCAGTATAGCAAATGTCCACTTGTGTGGGGAATTTCTTCATCTCCTATAGCTCCCTCAGGACAGGTGTGGCCTGGACCATTGCTCTAACCCCAACCCTTGCACAGAGCCTGGCCAGAGACATCACTTCTGTAACTGTGCTGAAATTCTGATTTTTTTTTCTGTTTTTCCTAGTGCTGTGGATTGAACCCAAGACCTTAGTACATACTTAGTGTAAGCTGTACCACTGGGCTATACCGCAGCCCCAAATTCCTAAATTTTGAAGGTGATTAAGCATATTCAAACGTTTGTTAGCTCCTAGTTTTTAAAGCTCATCTGAATATTTCCTATAAGAAGAAAAATGAAAGACATCCATCAATGCAGCCTGCAATGATAGGCTACCCACCAGGGAGTAGCAGAAATGGTTGACCAGAAGCACATGTTCAAGCTGGAATGGTCAAGCCATAGTGCGGGCCGTGTACCATTCAGGACACTGGAAATATTTTTCCTGGGATGTCACATGGTGGTTTTGTGGCAAGAGCAGGTTTGATCTTGGATTCCAGCTGACTTTTCCAGTAAATGGAAGTGGCAGGAGCTTAGGGTGAGGTTGGACTTTATCACTGTTGAAGGCCTGCTGCCGCCTTCCAAAGGCCGTGTGACTTGGGCAAGTTATTGACGGTTCAGTGCCTGAACCGTTTCTGTGTGATAGGGGAATCTACCTTATAAAGTTACTACTGGAAAGCATTGAAGTCATGGGCAACTTAGATCATCACAGATATGGTTACACAAATGTTAATTACAGTGGTTATTATAAAGAAGGAGAATAATATACCTCTTCAACTGTTTTCTACAGCCAGAAAGAACTAGTTTTTTAATGTTTTCTACAACAAAAAAGAACTCTTTTTAATGTTTCTTTAAAAAATGCTAGATACATCTTTACATTTCAATCTACCCTTTATAATAAGGGCAAGATGGTGGCTAGGTTCTCAATATGCAAAACCATGAAAAGCTCTTTTAATCTGTACCATCTTCAGAAATCCTCTTGTGATTTGTGTGTGTGTGTCTGTGTATGTTTGTGTGTGCCAATACTGGTTAGTGCTCTACCAGTTCAGTCCCAGCTCTACTTCACAGTTTTTAGTGCTAAGTTGGAGGTAAGAGTCTCACTGACTTTCCTGCCTGGTTGGTTTGGTCCCATGGCTCTTAAATCTCAGCCTCCTGAGTATCTAGAATTTACAGGTGTGAGCCATGGATGCCTGGCTCCTCTCATGCTTTGTAAGGAAGCTTAAAAAAGAGAGTAGAGAAGCGTGCTGCAGAAGATGTGGGAAGCTGGCCTGTGAGTGCTGCAGAAAGGCACGCTGTCAAATGCTGAGTCAGCCACTGTCCCTCCCCCCCCCAAATGAAAATGCCCAATTAATGACGGCACATGATGAGTTAACATAGAGGGACGGGAGGTGGGACAGCAATTAACACAGAAATAGCGATTACGCAAGGGAATGAAGTAGCCTGGACAGGAAACCTTTCCCAGAGCAGAGAATGTGTGACACACACACACACACACACACACACACACACACACACACACACACACACACACACACACACACACACACACACACACACACACGGAACATCCAAAAACTAGAAGCAACATGTTTTTCTGTTGTGAAAACAAAGCTAACGTGAATACTTATGTTTGCTGTTGAACTTGTTGGCAAATGTATAAACGGATCCTTTAGTAAGATAAGTTTTCAATTTCTCAATAACTCACATGTTTTCCTGGACATATTTTCATAGTGTTTTGGTTTTGCCTGTAAATCTTGACTTTGGGTATAATTTACAGTAAGAAAAACAAAAATACTCAAGGCTAATAATTATTTCCAGTGTGATTTTGAAAATTTCGTAATGGTAGCTCTTAAACTTTTCAATATAATATTCCTTCATAAAAATATAAAAAATGGGGCAGAACTCCCAAATGAAAATATCTGCAGAGAACAAACTGGATAGTTTCTTTTTTTTATTTTAATATAGTCCTAGAAATTGTAATGTTTACAGCCCAGTTGAGAAAATTAACTTTAATGTGCTGCAGTTTAAAAAGTGTGCAATATGAGATAGAAATAAAAATTCTGTTATGGCTGGCTGGGTGACAGTGGCGCTTATGTATAATCCTAGCTAGGAAGTGGTGCTGTAGCTCAAGTGGTAGAGTGCTCGCCTTGAGCTGAAGAGCGCAGGGACAGCACCCAAGCCCAGAGTTCAAGCCCCACGACTGACCAAAAAAAAAAAAATCTGTATAATCCTAGCTACTCATTTCAGTTCAAAGCCAGCCCAGGTGGGAAAGTTGGTAAGACTCTTATCTCCAATTAATCACCAAAAAGCCAGAAATGGAGCTCTAACTCAAGTGATAGAGTGCCAGCCTTGAGCAAAAAAGCCATATATTGTACTGTATATCCTTTCTAAGATCACTGTACCTTACTCAAAGTAAAACCATTCTATAACCATTCTATATGTTTCAATATGTCAAATTGTCCATAGGATATTGCCTCATTGGTGGGCAAAGAATAGTTTTAAGGATGGAATTTGAGATCACCCCCCTTGATTTGCTAGGAATTTAAGGGCGATGGAAGTACCGAGACCCTGTGATCGGGATACACTGGTTGAGACGTGCTGTGGGAAACATACTTCGCAATGAGGGAAATGGATACTCAGCCATAGTCCCTGGCTGAGACTCTCAAAGACCAAAGCATATGATTCCCAGTGACTTCAAACTCCCGGAGTTTGTACCTTTTCTCTTCTGCTGTTTGTCCTCTTGGTGTGCATTTCCATGTCTGTCCATTTCTCTTTTTCTATGGTCATTCTCAGCTTCATGGCTTTCACTTCCTTCCTTATAATTGGATACATTTATGGCCCTGTTTTATGACCTCTTTCTGGACAGACTTTGGAATTAAGACACTATGGCTTATTGCCTGAATCTTGCTTGAGTAAGATTTTACTTGAGTAAATCTACTTTGTCTGAGGAATCTCATTACCTCAGCCTGTCTCTGGCTATTGGCCAATATGCAGAATAAGTGCGCTGTCTCCTAAAGTCTAGCTCTGGGTTGGTGGTGAGGACTGTTGCTAAGAGAAGCCATAGAGTTCAAAATGTGGTCTCAATTTCCTTGAGCAAGGAGGCACCTGGAGCCTAGGTCTTCTAAGAGCTGTGAAAATGGTATGGCCATGGCCCGTGTCTGTAGCATGAAGTAAGTGACTGATGGGTTTTTATGGTTTTATTCCCAGGGAGCTGAAGAACCTAAACTAAAATGGGAGCACATCACCACCCTCATCGTCAGCCTCAGAGAATTTGTGAGGTCCACTGACCGAAAAATCATAGCCACTACGCTGTCGAAGCTGAAGTTAGAGCTGGATTTCGACAGCCATGGCATCAGCCAAGTACAGGTGGTCCTCTTTGGCTTCCAAGATGCCGTAAGTGCACTTCCCTATCGATATGTATCTTTTTCAGAATTGTTAGTGTTTAATCTCCCCTGCTCCTAAAATAGATACACATAAAACTGAATCACCATGGGAAATAGCAAACCTTACAAACATCTCCCGGAACTGAACTCTCTTCTTGGTGAAATTGTGTAGTGGGTCACTATTTATTTTGGTGACTTTTCACAACATAGCCGGCTTTAGTCATGCGCTTTGTAGTACCAGGCAACAAACGCCATCTGGTGGCCACTGAGATAATTTAACAGGATACAGCATTGAGATAGTCACAGCTAAAAACAAACATTTTTTTCCAGCTAGGTTTTCTCTGTTCCTACATGGAAATATTTTAATACATTTATTTCATAAATGTGCACTGTGTCATAACCTGAAATATAATTCAGAGTACACATCATGACTGAGGGGAAATTTTTCTTCATGATCTAATGGGAGATTGCAGAGAATTTGCTTTAAAACTGAGTTACCAAGCAACACAAACTAGAAGCCAGTCTTCTGAAAGTCTGATTAAAACTCCTGTTTTATTCTTGGAGAAGACACCTCTGCATACATGCCAAAGCTGCTTCCTCCCAGAAGCCCTTAGACAAAAATAAGAATGTTACAATGCTCAATAGAAAATGGACTCATACTTTGCTCATGTAACTGTAGCCCCTTTGTACATTAAAAATAAAAATGTTGAACTAGGCACTGGCAGGTCACACCTATAGTAACTACTCAGGGAGATGAGATCTGAGGATTTCAGTTTAAAGCCAGCCAATCTGGAAAGTCTATGCAACTTCAACCACCAGAAAATCAGAAGTGGAGCTCAAAGTGGTAGAGTGCTAGCACAAAAGTTCAGGGACAGCGCCCAGGCCCTGAGTTCTTGATGGTGTTGTGATATGCATATTAAATCATGTTGTAGGACTATTTAAATTTCAAAAAATTTTCTCTAATGGACCTATGTACAAGGTGCCTTGAATATTGCATTTGAAACATGAAATATCCCCGATTTAAAACCGATTTATAATCCTTCAACAGCCTCTAATATTCTCTGAGACACTGAGAAAGCCACTTGGTCCTTGTATGATATGGTGAGCATGGACAAGAGTCCTGATAGAGCAAATGCAACTGGCAGGGTTGATCGCTAATATTAAAGGCTAAAGGGCTGCATACCCTAACAACCAGGGAAACCCAGCCATCTGCAAATAGAGGAAAGCAATTTAGCTAATTTTCACTTGCCCACACATTTGGCCTTCATCCTAGAAGCTGAAAAGCAAATTGGCTATAGAATTCAGAATAAGAGTTAGTTATAATTTTGGGCCTCTGGCCCAGGACACCCCTCCCCCGCCACACACATACTCACCACACACACACCGCACACACACACACACCATTCACCTGTGTTGTAGCGTACTTTCTGTTCAAAATGAACTCAAACCATGGCCATAGTTAACATAGGTAAAATGAAGGAAATATGCAGAGTGAGGCATGGTTCAAAAGGTTCCACTTCTATCTAGTGTATGTGGGTTTTTAGAGAAATATTTTAAGTTACTAAATATAAAAAGAACAAATTCTGATTCAGGAAAAAGGGTATCAAGCTCTTGTAAGACAGAGTTCTAATGGATCGTGATCATGGTAGCACTGTAATGTAAATGCATTTACAGTCACTGATGATTGACATCTTAAGCTTTATATTACAGGTATTCTGAAAAACAAAGAGCAGAAAAGTCAGGAGCATATCTATTTTGGTGCCTATTTAAATAGATGAAATAGTGCTAGCCATTGTTCTGACAAGGATGTTGCATGTGCACTGGCCTTCTGGGTATTCAAGCTGAGTATCCTCTTATTTACAATGGCATAGTGGAAAGGAAACAAGCCAAGATTATGGCAAAACTGAGGTCACACATTCATGCTCATCTCTCAGCCCATTCACTTGCTTTTTCCAAATCACCAGAGTATGCTGAAATGCTCAACTGTGTTACTTGGCAGTCCTAACATTTATAGGCAGAGGCTATTTTATATAAGGCCTGGGGATTCTCTTTCTTCCTTCACCAGCCATTCTGCAGCTGTACTCTGAGTCCCAAGAAGATTAAATGTCACTTCCTTTTCCAGGTCAATAAAGTGCTTCGGAATCATAACATCAAGCCACACTGGATGTTTGCCTTGGACAGCATCATCCGAAAGGCTGTGCAGACAGCTATTACCATTCTGGTTCCAGGTGATAAATGTTTTATTACTCTGATCATTGTTCCTCCATCATTTCACTTCTGATGTCTCCTTAGGCTTTTTTTAAAAAATCAAATGAATACTTAACTAGAGTCAGAACACTTATAAATTTCTTTTCATCATGGAGTTACCAGATTTTAAAGACCATCTCCTTAGATTTTTCAGACCATACTTGTCTTTTATTGATTCTTTTATTATCTGTAAATAGTTATACAAAGGGGTTTCAATTCAATTCGGGGTGTCAGTTTATGAGTATAATGCATCTTGAGTAATGTCACCCCCTCCTCATTCTCTCTCATCTGCCCCACCCTTCCTCTCAACATTCTAGGTTCCACGTTCGTATATGTACATTGAATATTATGACTATTTACCCACCATTCCTCTCTCCATTCATCTGCTCCCCTCCCCCCTTATGCCCCACAGCCATCCAACACATTTCAGCTTTCTGGTATGCATTTTGTTAAATTCTAAGTTAGTTGTTAAAGGAGTTGCACCATTGAAAGCCATCCATGCAGCTACACCATACATTAGTCAGTTAGTTCATGTATATGTTTCCATGGCCCTGTGTGTTTTCACGTAATTTAGATTAATTTCCCTGTGGTTGCCTTTTTTAAAAAAAAGTCATTTCAAAGCCACCAAATAACATTTATCTAGTACATACGATCTGAGCCTCAGTTCACCAAGAAAATGTTGACTGCGAGGAAGATTTCCTTTTTTTCTTGGACATGAGGAAAGCCAAAACCTAATAAATGACCCCAAATAAACATACTCCTGTTCTATCTTGTACTAGTGCTTCCCAAGCCTTCAGGGCATTGAATGATGGGAAGAGTCCCTTAAAATTACAGCACTCAAAAAAGCAAAGAAATTACGAGAGCAGACAAAATTCAAAAAATTACAGCATTGAGCTGGGTGTTGGTGTCTCATACCTGTAAACCTAGCTACTCAGGAGCCTGAGATTTGAGGATCATGTTTCGAAGCCAGTCTTAAGCAGGAAAGTCTGTGGGACTCTTATCTCCAATTAACCACCAAAAAGCCAGAAGTAGAAGTAAAGATGTGGCTCAAGTGGTAGAGCACCAGCCTTGAGCACAAAAGCTCAGGGATAGCATCTAGGCCCTTAGTTCAAACCCTAGAACCAGAACCTGTGTGTGTGTGTGTGTGTGTGCACGTGCGCACACACACGCAGGTTTTAAGCCCATTTTCAACCAAATTCTGGAGTAAAGGCCAAGCATTAAACAGAAAATCTAAAATGGGATTTAAAAACAAAAAGTTTTTTACTCTTTTAGAGCAGTTTTGGATTCACCTCAAAATTGAGAGGGATGTACAGAATTCCCCATATTGTCTCTGCCCTGTATGTACACAGCCTCTCCCAGTATCAATACCTGCCCCCTACCAGAGTGGTGCACTTGCTACAATGGACAGACACAGGTTAACACATTATCACTAGGGTTCCTCCATGTAGATGCTATTATATATTCTGTTCTTCTGGACAATGTAGACATATATCAGTCATCACAGTATCATGCAGAATATGCTTGCAGCCCTAAGAATCCTATGTTCCACCTATAGCCATTTGATTTTAGTGCAACTCCCTGGTCATTTTGGCACACAGCCTGATTTGGAAATCTTTGGTCTAGACAGCCTTGGCTGTATTGGCAGTGAGACACAAAAGGGCTAGTGTTGCTGAAACAAGGTTGATGGGGAGAGGAATGTGCTCATACTCCAAGGCAAACCTCCTGAGTGTTTTGACGGTCAACCCAGTAAAAACAAGTTTAAGCAAGCTGGATGCCGGTGGCCCATGCATATAATCCTGGCTACTCAGGAGGCTGAGCTATAAGGATCATAGCTCAAAGCCAGCCTGGCAGACAAATCTGAGACTCTTATCTCCAGTAACCAGCAAAAGCTGGACATGGAGGCAAGACTTGAGTGGTAGAGCACCATCCATGAGTGAATAAATGTGAGTGAGAGTGTGAGACTGGATTCAATCTCCAGTATCTTCACACACATAAAAAAAAAGGTTAAACAGAGCTCTTCCACTCTATGTATATCTATTGGGATGGTGATTAGATATTGCCAAATGCATTGAGTTTTAGATAATAGTTAAACACCATCCTCCAATAAATATATACAGGACTCCTGTAGAAGTGGTCATGAGTCTAGGGCAGGAGAAATAGATCAAATGAGCCTGAGATATCTTATGGTTCCCAATTGTAAGGGAATGTTTAGAAAGACGAGCTTATTGAAAAGACCCTAGAGCCAACTTGAAGGATTTCCTAATCTCTCAGCTTGGAATAATTTGAGCAATGAAGTGAAATGAAATAAAAAATAGTATTAGGCTCTATCAGTCAGCTTATGATCACTTGTAACAAATACCTGAGATAGCTAACTAATAAAGATAAAACAGTCTACTTGGCTCATACAGTTTCAGAGCTTTCAGTTCATGATTGGTTGACAGCATTGCTTTGGGCCTGTATTGAGGCAGAGCATCATGGTGGGCCCGCACAGCACCACAAATTGCTCAGCTCATAGTGGAAGCAAAGGAAAGGAAACTGATGGCTCTCACATCCCCTTTTGAGGGCAGCCCCTCATGGCCTATGGACTTCTCACTTAGGCCCACCCCTTAAAGATTCCACCACCTCCTACAGTGCCACACTAGGACTCTAGGGACCATATGGACCTTTGAGGACACTTATGACTCAAACTGTAGCAAGCTCAAAGAACAAAATAATATCCATGAGCCCAGATTGATATAATGTTTTGAGCAAAAAAGCTCAGGGACAACTCTCAGGTCCTGAGTTCAAGCCCCAGAATTGGCAAAAGAAAAGAAAGAAAAGAAAAGAAGAGGAGAGGAGAGGAGAAGAAAGAAAGGAAGGAAGAAAGAAAAAGAAAGAAAGAAAGAGAAGGAAGGAAAGAAAAAGAAAGAAAGAAAGGAAGAAAGGAGAGAGAAAGAGACTCAGACATTAGTAGGAAGACATGACATTCAAACACTGATCTATAAACTTATCAATAGTATCTGTAGATTTTCTGCTTTTGATTATTGTTTCACAGGCATATAAGATACTAAGGTGGTGACAAATTGCTGAAGAGTACAGAGAACTCTACTGTTTTGTAACTTTTCTGTGATTCTAAAGTTACTTCAAAATAGTAAGTTTTGAAAGTAGTGCTCAGTTTCCCTGCTTCAAAAAGAACATACAGAACAGAGAATACAGTATGTCTCTTAGGCATTCTTTCATCAGCCTTAAGATTATTGGCAACATTAAGTGTCTATTGTTGCTACTCAAGCACAGAGTGGCTGTGGGTGACTAGACTGAGAAATGCTGAGAGCAGGATGACGGTGCAAAGCTAGTGAGAATCCATAGTATAAATATCCTTCTGGCAATGCTCTTTAAAAGATGCTTGGAGCGGTTGATATTACTGTCAGTCATTTGACTGAATCAAGCATGTGCCAGTGTTCACATTCATGTGAAATGAGCTTTATTTACCTCTCCATGAGGAAATTGATGCAGGTATTATATGCTTCGCTCACAGCCCTCTGATCCTATGTGGCATCAGAAATACCCATGTTAAAGAAACTTGGTCTATTTATTTCATTTGGGGAATTAACCATTTAGAGTAGAGGGTATGATATTGTTTCACACCATCAAATTATATTAGAAATGTGTGCCCACTCCTCTTTCCCACATGGGCTTAAATGCCATCCATGCATTGCAGGACACAAGTCTCAGATTTTTCTCCTGACATGTGGCTCTCTCTTGACACTTCATGCTGCTTAACATTCTTCCTACAAGGCTTTGGTCCACCATGCAGTCTTCTTTCAAGCACCTCTCTTTTTCCCCCTAGACCAAATCCCTTCCCTCCTCCAGAGCCCACATTAGGTCCTTGTCTCCCTGAATCTGTCAGTGAATAAGCCAGCTCCATTCAGTCATGCAAATAAATGTGTTTTACTTACCTGTCAGCACTCTTAGAACATGCATTTATTAGTCAAGGGTCTGCAAAGAGGCACCAATAGGCTAAGGAGAGATAGATAAGAGATTTCTTATAAGAATTGGCTGGAGTGGTTATGGATGCCAAGTAAGCCCCAACATTTGCTGCCGGTATGCTGTAGAGCTGGGAAAGCAATGTGTGATTCACTCTAATCTGAAGGAAGTTGATGTTGAACGTCTCAGTGCAAGACTGAAAGTCTGAGAAACTGGAGCAAGAGATGAGACATGCTCCCAAGGTGAAAAGAGAGAAGGAGAATTCTTTCTTGTCTACCTTTTCTGTGCTGTTCAGGCCTGGGTGATGTCACCCCCATTGGTGAGAGTGGACCTTCTCTACTCAGGTCACTGAAAGGTTAATCTCTATGGGAAACACCTACATAGACACACCCAGGAATACTGTTTCCTCAGCTATGTGGCATCCCTTAGCTGAGCCAAGTTGGCATGTAAAAAATTAATGATCACAATGCTTGATGAATTACCTATGCAACGAGGTCTACAACTGAGATGCTTTTCAGCTGTATTCTATTTTACTTGTAATTTCATGCTGTCTTTGGGCATCTGTCTTGGGCCTTTCTGTGGATCTCTCAACCTCCTTTAGATCATTACCAATATCATTGGTGTATTTTCCAGTGTTTAATCTAATGCTCTGTGCTCAAAGAAATAACAAAACATTGCATTAGCTTGCAGTTTTCTACTTTTCAAAGAATGGAAAGCATTTTTGTCATGCTTACACATATAAATGAGAGTTGAAAGGATATCAAATTAAGGGATCTTTAAACATAATATAAAAAATTGCCTTCCATAAAGTAGGTATATTTTTATTATTATTGTAAAGGTAACAGGAGGGTTACAGTTACATAAATCAGATGAGTACATTTCTTTTAACAGTATCACCTCTTCCAATTTTTTTCTCCTAGTTTTATTTTAGAAAAATTTGTAAATCCTAATCTTTTCTACCATTTTGATCTAGTGTTATAGTATCTTAAGTTGCCCGTAAAATAAAATATTATTTTTATATTATTCTATTTTATTCTCTATTATATTATTCTCTTCAAAACCCAAATAATCCTGGCAAGATCATTCTTTCATTTTCCTATGTTGTTACTGTTGTTGTTTTGCAATCCTAATGCATTTAGCTCCTGTCTTAGAATTTACAAAGTTAATATGTCTGATTTTGTGTCAGTCATACTGTATTTAAATTAGGAAATTGAGGAAATGGGATTTGGGAAAGAGTTAGAACAGCAAGGAAGTTTTGTAAGCCTTAAGATACACAGAGACGAGGTGAAGAAACTAGAAATCATGTGACCTGTCAGTGCAACCACTATAAAAACAGTATGGTAGAATCCTTTAAAAGTTGAAAATAAGCCAGGCACTGGTGGCTCACACTTATAAATGCTAGCTACTCAGGAGGCTGAGATCTGAGGGTTGCAGTTCGAAGCCAGCCAGGGCAGAAGAGTCCCGTGAGACTCTTTTTTTAAAAAATATTTATTTTTTTTTTATTTTTTGTTGGTTGTGGGGCCTGAAGTCTGGGCTTGGGCACTGTCCCTCAGCTCTTCAGCTCAAGGCTAGTGCTCTACCACTTGAGCCATAGCACCACTTCTGCTTTTTCTGCTTATGTGGTGTTAAGGAATCGAACTCAAGGCCTCATGCATGCAAGGTAAGCACTCTACCACTGAGCCACCTTCACAGCCCCGAGACTCTTATCTCTTAATTAACCACTCAAACACTGGAAGTGGAGCTATGGCTCAAAGTAAAGTGCTAACCTTGAGCAAAAAGAGCTCAGGGACAGTGTCCAGGCTCTGAGTTCAAGCCCATGACTGCAAAAGAAAAAAATAGAATTACCATGTGATCCAGAAATTCCTCTTCTGGGAATATATCCAAAAGAATGAAAAACATGATCTCAAAGAGGTATCTGCCCACCATGTTCATAGCAACTGTATTCCCAATAGCTAAGAGATAGAGGCAATCCAAATGTCTGTCAACAGATGAACAGTTAAACAAAAGGTAGTACATAAATGTAATGGAATATTATTAGGACTTAAACAGAAGGAAATTCTGACATATACTACAACATGGACAAATGCTGAGGACATTATTTGAACTAATATAAGCTAGTCATAGGATCAATATTATATTTTTCACTTGTAGAGTAGTCAAACCCAGAGACGCAGAAAGTAGAGTGGTGGTTTCCATTGGCTGTGAGGAGTGGAAAATAGGGAGGTATTGTTTCTTTTGAACTGAGTTTCAGTTTGCAAAAATGCAAAGATTTCTGAAGATAGGTTGCATAGCAATGTGAATATAATGAACACTACTGAATTGTACACTTAGACATGAATAAAGTAGTATATTTTATGTCATGAACTTTTCTAACCACAATAAGAAAATTTAAACTTCAAAAAGGAGATGAAGAAGCCAGTATCAACCTGGCCTTAAAGGATGCTGTGCTTCTTGTTCAGAACAAAAGATGTCGATTTTGAAGTACCTGTCCAAAAGGATATTCAGCAGATTCAGGTTGTAACCAGATTGGGGCCAGAGGGGTAGATGGCTGGCACACACTAGAGGTACTTGACCTTCACAGAGTTGAATGAGCTCACCCATGGAGAACAAGTAAAAATAAAAAAGCTTCCAGCTTCTAGGGGATTGTAGGAGATAAAAACTCTGAGAAGGAGAAGCAGGAGCCCAAAGGAAAAGCTGTTCACACAATGATCGCTTCGAGGGCTTGGAAACAGGCCTTTGGTGACCTTGATAAACTGGCCCTATCAAATCATTCTGACTGAATTTCTCCATCTTATACATTCTGTACATTCACTGGCAGAACAATTTTGAGTGAGTAGCAGAAACCCAGCCTTCATGTTGAAGAGCAGTTCGGGTAGCAAGAAGGACTGACTCTAACCTCTAGATCATGGAAACAATCGTTGTGTTTTGTTAACACTGACACTATGCCCAACAGAACTGAGGCCACATTTTAGCCTGGCATCTGAGAGTGATACCGCTGATCCGGAAGACTTGGATGTAGAAGATGACCATGAGGAGCCACCTGCCAATCAAACAGTCCGAAGACCTCAGGCCATCATTGAGGATGCCGTGGCCACCTCGGGAGTGAGCACGCTCAGCTCCACTGTATCCCACGATTCCCAGAGTGCTCACCGATCACTCAATGTGCAGCTCGGAAGGATGAAAATTGAAACAAATAGGTAGGTTCAAAGCTGACATCATTTTCTTTTCTTTTCTTTGTACCAGTACTGGAGCATGAACTCTGTGCTTCATGTTCTTGCTTATGTTTTTTGTGTGTCTTGTTTCTTTGCGCAAGACTAGTGCTCTATCCCTTGAGCCACACCTTCACTTCTGGCTTTTTTTTTTTGCTGGTAATTGAAGAGTCTCATATAATTTTCTGCTGTGGCTAGCATCAACCCATGATCCTCAGTCCTCAGCCTCCCAAGTAACAGCAGCTTCTTTTCTCTTACTTCTGTAGAAATGTGTTTGGGGTCTACTTTATATGTCTTATCTACAGAACATGCATATTTTAATGTGTTTGCAAAAATTCCTTATCTTGGACATGTATACCTAATTTAGTGGTTTTCTCATTAGCAAGAGCCCTTGCTTTGTCTTTTTGCCACTCTCTGCTTTTACTAATTCAAGGCTACTTTGGACCATTTCTTTGCTGGCTTATCATTAGGTACACTGAGATCCGCAGAATAACTGTGTTGTAACCTCCTAAACTGTCGTGGAAACACAGACGCAGAGCAGCCTGTTCCTTCTGATAGATAGCTAAGAAACAGAACAGAAAGCCTGTGTTCTTGAAAGCCTGTGATTTAAAATGTCAGATCCTTTCTGGAGAGGAGCATCTTAATACTCACAAGGAGAAAGCTAAGCCTGTATTCTAGAGGCTTGAGAAAATGAGAATGGACCACATGGATGACTCTTCTATTTTTAATCTGCTATAAACTCCAGATGATAATTTGTCTCTGAGCATTGGTTAGCATAGGAACCCATGACCAGGTTACTAAGTGAACAGTAAATGCTTCCTGTTCTCCACAAACGTTGGCACAGTTCAAGGTCTGAGTCTTTATGATTTATAGCTTCCTGAGCTGGCTACCGTTGACATGTGGGAAACGGACTTTATGGCTCTGCACTTGTGGTAAAAACATTTTTTCTAGTGACTCCATAAAACTGTTCAAATAGGTGAAGATTCTAGTTGTTTATCAGAGTGTAAGCTCTTTGAAGACAGCTTGACTATGAAACTTAGTACAAAGCTCCTCTTTTATTCCTTCTGTTTAAATACATCAATTTAGGTTGCATGATTTTTTTAAGTGCACACGTACTTACATTGTATGACTTGCATAGAGCAAACTCTTACAATAAAGAGAAAACTGGCTCTCTGGCTTCCATATCCTTGTCTTATCCTCCAATGGCCAGCTCTTTACCCATCATCTCTACTACTTAATGGGAAAGAATCTAGATCTTTTCTGAATCTTTATCTAACTCTTAAAGCTTCTCATATTTTAACACCCCATCCCCTGTGATAGGTACTAGCTCATCACTTCAGTTTTTATTCTTGCCTTATCCTTACTGGACCCCTGCTCTGGTCACTGAAGGAGGAAATTTCCCTCTGTGACTTATTATTTTGATCCAGCACTCCCCACCCATGGCTTCTGGTCAGAACTGACAGACAGGAAAGCTAGTTTGTTTACTAAAGAGCTGGTCTGTCTGCTCTGCTGGCCCTGAAACCCTATGTCTGCACCTCATGGCTATGTCAACAGAACCTGAATACTCTAAATACAGCCTCCTGTGTGTGTTTCTCTCCCTTCTCTCCTTTGCTCATTGGCTTCACCTTGTGCTTGCACGTGTTGCTGCTTCTGTCCCCCAGGTTTCTGGTATCATTGACTTGCAAGATTGCTGTCTCTAACTCCTTTCTTCTCGTCTCATCGTTTATCTTCGGAGGCTCTCTTGGGGCCTGCTGAGATTTTGCTTTCATGAAAATCTTCCCATCTTGGTTGAAAAGACTAAGATTTTTCTTTATCACATTTTGTATATTATATGGCTTTATTACTTTATTACAGCTATATTTGTGTGTGTTTACATGCTTACAATTAGATCTATAAAAGCTACAGGATTATTAGCCTTCTTTGTCTTTTTTGCAGTAGCAACTATCACAGCTCCTCTGACACATCCAGAAAAGTGAGATGAGTATAATATAACTGGTTTAGTACAAGCACTGAACAGCTGAATTTAGACCAGCCTTATCTATATTGGTCCTTGAACTTTTCTGTTCAATATCATTTGCAATATAAAATTATATGCAGCATTCTGGGGTTGTAATTCAAGTGCTAGAGTACTTACCTAGCATGTGTAAGGCACTGGATTCACTTGTCAGCCATCCTACCACCTCTACACACACAAAATCTATACTGCAAAATGAATTGAGAGGAAATGTGTTTAGGAAAGGTTATAGATACCATATTAACAGTCCTAAGCTTAGCCTAACACAACTTACTCTTGTCATCCTAGGTACTCAGCTAAGATCTAAACATCAAGGTTTGAAGCCAGCCAGAGTGGGGAAAGTCCATAATAAACTACTCAGAAAAAGCTGAAGTGGTGCTATGGATCAAGTGGTAGAGCACTAGCCATGAGCACAAAGGGGCTCAGGGACAGCACTCAGGCCCTGAGTTCAAGCATTAGGACCTGCAAAAAATAAAAGAGAGAGAGTGAGGCACTAAGTTCAAGCTGCAGTCCTGACACAAACATACACACAAAACTTAAGCTCAGAATGTTGTGAATGATCACTGATAAAGGTAAATCATGTTTACACAGCTCTTGATGATTAGGCAGGCCATCAATAATTCTAAATGGCTGGACGAAACAAAATGGCTTTAGAATATACGTCTTCCTTCTGTTTAAATATATGCTTGTATAAAATTCACTTCACACAAGGAGATGTGAGAACATTATTAAAACTTAGAAGTATCCATTTGTTATCTAATTTCTAAATCCTGGAATTCCAGAAAAACCCATCAACCTAGCTTTACTCACCTGAGTTAAAACCTTATGGTGGTTTCTTACCATACTTTTCTGGAACAGAGAGGCAGACAATTGCCTTCATTGCTCAGTATTTCCCAAATAACCCATGGTAAAACTAAAACTACTGGACTAAATAAATATACACTTAGGGGTGGTTTGAATGACAAATGAGGAGGCCCATCAATACTCTACTTCTAACATTAAATTCTGGCTTTTAAAGATAAAAAAAACTGCCTAGCCTAGATAAACATTTTAAATTCTAGGAAATAATTTTGTATTCTTTGAGAAAATAATAGCAATATGCTATCACTCTTTTCTGCATGTATATTAACCAGGTAGAACATATATATATATATGCTAAACAATTCAAACAGAGCTTTCTATCCATTGATAGATTACTGTAATTGTTGGAGGAATCTCCCTCCCACTCTCTACTTCTCCCTCTAGCTTTCAGTTCCTGACGCTTAATCCACTTAATTGTGTGATGAGTTTACTCTGTAGGTGTTGTTACTTACCTGTCTTCTGCAACCCACTGTCTCTGTCTGCCTCTCATTGTTTTTTACCTCAGCCACCCACTCTACTATGATTCCTCTTCTTTCCTGAGAGCCTCAGCTTTATGGGAATGAGGTAGAGCTTGAAGCGCAGGACCACAGCTGGATGAGGCCTGGAAGGACTGATGCTCTAGCAGGGCACAAAGTAGCCGCTACTAAAGGCCAGGCTAGTGCTAGGAACTTTACCTCATTTAATGCTCACAGCCGCTCTTTTGGACATTTTCCTTTTGCAGTTCCAGAGGCTTGGTTAAGTTGTCTAAGGCTAAGATGGGAAATGCCTGGCAGAGCCAGGACACAGGCCCAGGCCTATCTCATTTGCATCATGCCATCTTCAAAGTCTATCATCCAAAGCAGAAGCTGACTTTTGGATGGAACGTAGTCTGGAGTTAAGTCTACCAATAGCCAGGAGATGAAACAAAATCAGCTTTTAAGAACCTTAGGGAGCAGGGCACCTGTAATCCTAGCTACTCAGGAGGCTGAGATCTGAGGATTGCGGTTCAAAGCCAGCCTGGACAGCAAACTCCATGAGACTCTTATCTCCAATAAACTACTAGAAAACTGGAAGTGGCACTGTGGCTTAAGTGGTAGAGCACTCACCTTGAGCTGAAGAGCTGAGGGACAGCGCCCAGGCCCAGAGTTCAAGCTCCAGGACCAACAAAAAAAAAAAAAAGAGAACTTTAGGGGATGCAATTATTAATCTTAGTGAGCTGACTAATCATTATGTGTTTTAAATATTAACGTTCTAGGGCTGGGAAGGTGGCTCAGTGGGAGAGCGCTTGTCTTGCATGCCTGAGGCCCTGGGTTCAATTCCTCAGCACCACATAAGCAAAAAGAAAAAAGCTGGAAGTGGCGCTGTGGCTCAAGTGGTAGAGCACTAGCCTTGAGCTGAAGAGCTGAGGGACAGCGCCCAGGCCCAGAGTTCAGGTCCCACGACCAGACCCCCCACCTCAAAAATAATATTAATGTTTTGAATACAACTTACTCAAGGGATTTTGTTCTTAAAAACATAGAGCATCTCTTTTCTTCATTTGGAGGGCTTTCTCCAAGAGACAGTGTCAGACATAGTAAATAGATTTGTTCTTAGCCCAAGGCAAATCTTCCAGGGGTAAGAGTATGATATGAATATCATAGTTTCTTCTTGCTTCTTTGGTATCTGATGGCAATTCAGAATGGAATGTACAGTAAACACAGTAACACCCACTTCATTAATCCTACCCCTGTCCCAGAAATGGGAAGAACAATGTTAATCACCGCCACAGTTGCAGCAATAGCCATTAACATTTGGTGAAGACTTGTCACCTGCCAGGTGGTCTTCTAGGGAACCATTCCTCCAAGCTGTCATAGTGTCACAAGAGTGGCTACCTTTTTGCGTGGAGTTGATTATTAGATTATCTATGTTTGCCATTTTTTCTGATGAGGGGCCGTGCATGTAAAATACTCATCTGTTAATACCGCCTATTTGTCATTTTGACATTTATGAACAATGAAAAAGCAAACAGTAGACAAGTATCTCTGAAGATTTGGGGAGGGCATGTGAAAGGGAGATTTTGAATTCGTGCCTGGAAGCACAATCTGACAGATCTTGCTCCTGGATGGAATTAGAGCAAGTCCAGAGCATCACTGTCTCCTGGGGGCTCATTAGGCACCATCTCCTACCTCACTCCAGAGCTCTGAATTTCTGTAAGAATCCACGGTGTCCATGCTTATAGCTTGGGAAGCTCATGCTAGATCATTGATACCTTCAGCTTTATTATCACATCAACCAATACAATTTTCTTCTGCAGATTACTGGAAGAATTAGTTCGGAAAGAGAAAGAATTACAAGCACTCCTTCATCAAGCTATTGAAGAAAAAAACCAAGAAATTAGACACTTGAAACTTAAATCTCAACCAATAGGTAAGTAGGTGGGAATTTCAAAATAAACTTGGTTGACCAAAGTTGCCATGGGAAGCTGAGAAGCAGCAACAGGCAGTTTTATGTTATGGTGTTTAACTAGCATCTCTCCTTTGTGCCACAATGAGAAGCGCAAACTATCATTTCTTCTAAGCACAGTGAAAATGTTTGGTTCAGGGACTCAAGCCTGAAATCCTAACTGGGAGGCAAAGAGCAGAGGATTCTGGTTCAAGGCTTTCCCTGGCTTAAAAGTTTGAGACTGAACTCAACCAACAGTTGGGAGCAGTGGCCCTCACCTGTCATCGCAGAGACAAGGGAACCACAGATAGGTAGATTATAGTCCAGGCCCACTTGAGGAAAAATTGTGACTTATCTTGAAAATAAACAGTATGTTAGGGATGGCAGAGTGCTCAAATGGTAGAGTACCTGCTTACCAAGCACAAAGTCCTGAGTTCAAACCTCTGTCCTGCCAAAAGGAAAAAAAATGTATGACTCATAAGATCACCTTCCCTGAGGCTATATATTGTAGAGATAAAGAGAGCTTTCCACTGATTTAGTGATTTGTTAAAGATTGTGTATTAGCATATATTAGTTGTACAAAGGGTATTTTGTTGTGACTTTCCTAGAAATACATACAGTGTACCCTGATCAAACTCATCCCTTCAGTTCTTTCCCCTATTTCCTTCCCTCTTCTTAAAACAATTTCAGCTTGGTACATGTGGCTCATGCCTGTAATCCCAGCTACTCAGAAGGCTGAGATCTGAGGATCACAGTTCAAAGCCGGCGCAGGCAGAAAGTCTCTGTGAGCCTCTTATCGCCAATTAAACACTCAAAAACTGGAAGTAGCACTGTGGCTCAACTGGTAGAGCAGCAGTCTTGAGCACAAAGAGGTTCAAGGACAACACCCAAGCCCTGAGTTCAGGCCCCACAACTGACAAATAAATAATAATTTCAACGGGTTTCATTGTTCTAGTTTTGTACATGCATTTAAAGTACATAGTCACCCCATAGTCACCTCCCACTGATATGATCGGTGTTTATTTCTTTTCATGGTTGTCAGTGAGACAATACTATTTTTGTTACTTTGCATTTGTATTCAGTGAAATCCAGCTTTTTTCTTTATGTGTTGAAGAGGCTTAAATAGCATAAAGATATAGTAATAAGAAGTGATAGGTTCAAACTCTGAAGAAAAATATATAAGAAATTGGAGGTACAAATTAATGTTTTATGTTTTATTATCTCTTAGTAGTTGTACAAAGGGGGTTTCGATTCAACATAACATTTATGAGTACCATGCTTCTTGATCAGTCCCACCCTTTCATCTTTTCCCCCATCTCTCCCAACTAAAAAGTACTCTTTAGAGGATTTTAATTAGCCAATTTAGAAGAAAATATAATTCATGGTTATTTGTTCAGATGATGGTTCTTCTATGTTAATATACATAGTGATAAAAGAGATTATAATGTTACAGTTCTCTGATAATTGTGTAGATCATCTTTGTTGCATGAAATGAATAGTACCGATAAACTTTGATATAGAGTTTATTCTAAGAAACTATAGAATTTATATGAAAGCATAAATTTGGAGTACTGTTACATTAGTGCTTCTGACTCCCACTTTACTACCAGATTAACTAGTCTGAGTTTAATTTAGGTCTGCTAATCTCCATTGTTTCTATTAACTGTTCTCTGACAGTGCAAAATCAAATTGTGCATAAATCTCTGTGGGCTGTGAGAATCTCTGATAGCCTCTCTCAGATGAAGCAAAGAATACCTATCTCTCCCTAATTTGGTTCTAGATATTCCTGGATTGCCTGCATGTCACCTAAATTCTCCTGGCACCACCACTGAAGATTCTGAACTTACTGCTTGGCTCAGAGAAAATGGAGCTGATGAAGATACTATTAGTCGGGTAAAGAAAACCATGATTCTGTGTTCTTTGGCTTTCCTTCATAGTATCACATGCCTTTTCTAAGCCCAACAGCCTTCAAGCACAGAGAGCACATTGGTGAACAGTCAGAGGCAGCCTGCCCTGGCTGTGGCTTTGTAGGGCAGGCAGATGATAATTCAGATAGTTCCACAGATTAAAAAATGTGGGGCTGAGCTGGGCGCCGGTAGCTCACGGCTGTTATCCTAGCTACTCAGGAGGCTGAGATCTGAGGATCGCGGTTCTAAGCCAGCCTGGGCAGGAGAGACCGGGAGACTCCTATCTCCAATAAACCACCAGAAAACCGGAAGTGGTGCTGTGGCTCAAGTGGTAGAGCGCTTGCCTTGAGCTGAAGAGCTGAGGGACAAGTGCCTAGGCCCAGAGTTCAAGCCCCACAACCCCCAAAAAACAAACAAAAAAAAATGTGGGGCTGAGTGTGATGATGCACACCTGTAATCCCAGCTATTGTGGAGGTGGAGGTACAAGGATCACAGTTCAAGGCCAGCCTGGGCAAAAGTGTAAGACCTTACCTGAGGAAAACAAGGAAAAAGAAAAGAAAAATAAAAACATAAAAAAGCAAAGGGCTTGGGAGGATGGTTTAATTCATAGAGCCCGTGTGTAGCAAACACAAGGCCTCAAATTCAATCCTGATACCATGAAACAGATATCAGTATACATTGGAAAATTCTATGCAGGAAAAGGTTTGGGAGTTCTTGGGGAGGGGGAGCAGGTTGGGAAGTCTTTCAGGAAGAGGGTGGCTGAGTCTAAGAGAATGTATAGGAATAAAGGAGGGCAGATGTATGTATCAGGTTTTTCTGGAAGGAGGGGTAAGGAAGGGAACATCATTTGGACCTGCACGTGCAGAATATGAAAGGCAAGGAAGCAGCAAAAAGCATTGTTGTCCACACCCTTTAAGGATGGTAATGTTTTTGAACTGAAAATAAGGCTAGCCTCTAACTCAGAATCCTCCTGCCTCAATATCTTATATGCTGGGATTACAGGCATGTCCCACCATACCTGGCCTAACAAACAGCCTCGTTTGTGGACAAGCTCTGAGGTAGAATGATATTCACTTCAGAATGACACAAAACCACAGAAAATTATCTAGAATGGCATAAGAACATTATAAATCATCTGTCAAAGTAATCTACACTCTGAGTGCTTATTGTATTTCAGTCTATGTGCCTTGTAAACAGCTTTGCTTAATTGCATCTTACTTACATCTTTGCTAAATTACATCTTCAGCTACTCGCTCCATCTGTGCTGGCTATATAATTTTTCTAAATGATTTTACCACTTTATCCTTAGAGCCCTCATTTGTCAAAGGGGTATAAAAATGCACCCACCACAAAGGGTGTGGAGGAGGATCATGTGTACTAATTATGTGAATGGAAATGGGAGGTAGTAAACACTGGAAATTTATTGGAAGAGGCAGAGTCCATCTTGCCTGTGAAACCTTCAAACATATAAAATATCAAATATCTTTCTTAGAAAGCAAACTACAAGGTAGTAGGCACTAAGTAAATCTTATCTTCAGTATATACAATAGCACATATATGTCCAGCTTAGAAAATCTTAAGTCTATGGCTCAATTTAGATAGTTCAAGACAACTAGGCAACAATAGGTATCAACCAGTGACCATAGACTATATTGAAACCAAAAAGTAATTTTTTATTTAAAAAAAAACTAAAAGTTCACTTGGTCACAAGTGTGGCTCATGCCTGTAATTCTAGCTACTCAGGAGGCTGAGATGTGAGGATCACAATGTAAAGCCAGGCCTAGAAAAGAAAGTCTGTGAAACTCTTTATCTCCAATTAACCACCAAAAGGTTGGAAGCAAGGCTGTGGCTAAAGAGGTAGAGCACAAGCCTTGAGCAAAACTGCTCAATGACAATACCCAGGTCTTGAGTTCAAGCCCCAGGACTGGCACCAAAACAAACAAACAAAAAACAAATTAAAAGCTTTTCATATTCAGGACTCTGATATTGCAGTGAATAATAGACAAGTCTCTTTTATTAGCTGTGAAAAAGCAATAACTTTCCAGAGACAAATTTTGTCCACTTGGGGAAAAATAAAAGCTTTCAAGAACCAAATTATGAGCAGCAGATATAATTACTAGTGAGTTGTAGCTGTTCATTAGAAGGCTCTTCAGCAGTTCTAAGTCATGTGTAATCTTTATGCATTGAGAAGTCCCATGGGTTCATTTTAATTATTTTGTTAAGTCAAATAATAGGGAAGTTTTCCTCAAACAATTCCAGTAGAGTATGTATTAGTGGATTTCCTTTTAGATTCACTTGTATTTATTACCAGTGTCTGAGTTTTGGATGGAGTTTATTACTGCAAACATCTGAACTTCATTTTACTTTCTCTACAGTTTTTGGCCGAGGATTATACACTAGAGGATGTTCTCTACTACGTGACACGTGATGACTTAAAATGCCTGAGACTAAGGTGCCATTTTTGTCTTAAGTTGCCCTGATGGGAAGAGTCCTGAGCTGAGTGCTCAGGGCCTGGGCTTCTAATGAGCTCTGCCAGCTCAGGCAGTGCTAGTGCTCTCTGGTTTTTAGCTGTGTGGAATTAGTTGGGCCTGGCTATTTGGGGATACTCTAGCAACTAGTACATTTATACTACTAGGTAAAAATCAACTAAAAGATTTTGCTAACTTAACTACTACATAGACTAAAACCACACAGATATTATTCTAAAGCTGTTGTAAGCACATGCTCTAATTTAGTTCACAATTATCTCATGCCTCTAGAAATATTGGATGAGGTGTTGAGTCACCCTCCAAAAAACTTGGTATAATCAGACGTGAATTCTTTTTTCTACATTCTTCTCTACAAGGCCAGGTGTCTCCATAATTCACACCCACATCTATAAAGACATATTTCAGAAATGAGACAATCTAAAATGTAATTTGGGGGCCTAGAAACTTGTAGGAATGATCAAGGGATGAGGAGAAAATATATACAAAACTGATACATAATGACTCATAGGCTTTTGGGATCTTCTTGTTTTAACCAAAGCAGCTGAAAGCTAAGAAGTCTCTTTTATATGTCAAGGGCAGTGTCTCTAGGGAGAATGAGTTTTCTTCACCTTGTTCTTGTATCTTTATACAGGGGAGGAATGCTGTGTACCTTATGGAAGGCCATCATTTGCTTTCGAAACAAACACATTTGACTCTCACTCAATTTAATCTTCGTTGGAGATTCTGAAAGTGAATACAGGACTGATCTTGGGGTAGGAAGAATCGAAGTGAGAGGAGAAAGAAGCTGCACTTTAAAATCAGTACTTGTTTACACATGTTAAACAACAACAACAGAGAAACATCCTGAAATTTTCTGCTTCTGCTTCTACAATTCTTAAGAACTTTTTTTTTTTTTTGGATTGTGGGGCTTGAACTTGGCCTGGGTGCTGTCCCTGAGCTCTTCTGCTCAAAGCTAGCACTCTACCACTTTGAGCCACAGCTGCATTTCAGGTTTTCTGATGGTTCATTGGAGATCAGAGTCTCACAGACTTTCCTGCCCAGACTGGCTTTGAACCACAATCCTCATATCTCAGCCACCTGAGTAGCCAGGATTACAGGCATGAGCCACCAGCACCTAGCTTCTTAAGGACTCTTCATAAAGACTTTCAAACAATAATCTTAATGAGAATTCTAATGTGGAGGATTATTTTTCAACTTAAACCCTTTTATGGAGATTTTTTTTAAGCCAGCAGCTATTTCTATTTCAGCCAGAAGTTTATCTCACACGAAATGGATGGAACATTTCATGTGATTGTGTACGACCACTGGAGCGAAACCAAAATGTGACCACACCTTAGGATTATATGTGTTTGTAAGAACTTGAGTAGAAGTGTATAATTCAATCACTGTATAAAGTTGATTTTTTTTAAAAGCGGGCAGAACCTGAGAGCAATGTACTATCTGTACTATCTGTACTAATTGTAATAGTGACTAGATTTTGTAACCTAAGTTTCTGGCCTTCAGTGCATTTGTTTGAGTCATTTGTGTACTACTGACCTGCACCAGTTGCATCTGCCTGGATCATAAAAATGTTAGCTTGTTCTAAAGCTATCCATTGTACCATATTTACTCTATAATAAAGAAAACAACAAAATAATAATAAAAAGATGTCAATGTACCATTTTCATAAATTTCAAAGAATTTTTATTTTGTCCTGATGATCTACATAAATGATGGTTAAAATTTCTAGTCATTTCTTCAGAAGGATAACTGATGTCCAAATTGTTTCTCTGGAGTATCAGAGTGGTTAAAAAAAAAAAGCATGGGAAAAAAATGAGGATAAAGGAAAGTTGGTGTGCTTTTCTCAAGGCTCCAACTTATCTTGGACTATTATGTAGCTTGAGAAGTCCACAGAGAACATCTTGATAGAGAGAACTGTATTTTCTTTCTGCCTCCTTCATGGGGTTCTCATATTTGGGGATATTCTTTGATTTTTGAGCTGAGGGTTATATTTTTATGAGTCTGCCCATGTTAACGGTTGACACCAGAAGTTCTAGATGGATGGATGAAATAAACACATCTACCTTCAGAGGACAGACATAACTTACAACTGCTTGTGTATCATGACTTGATTCAGACAAAGCCATCTTTGATAAAAGAGGAGTCAGCTTTGTTTCTTTGTAAAAAATCAAGGAACAATATAATTTCTATTGCATTTGGAGTATCCCATATATTGTCATGAATGCTTTCATTTGACACTTAGAAAAGCAACATAAGTATTTCTATTTTTTAAATAAATATCGACCTTGAAGCATAGTGGTGCCTTGCACACCTGTGGACATTTTAAAGGAAGTGACAATGTCATCTGACTCCAGGTTCCCTCGTTACCAAGACACAGTTCATGTGACCAGTCCTAATGTATAAGGACTTCTTTTAGACTATATGTACACAGGGCTAAGCTACCCATTTTTAACTAGCTATCTGGTCTTGGCGTCTTCTCAGTGGGTGGATATTCTCTATGCCCCCATGATTCATACTCTGTTCCCACGCAGCATCATTAGGCTTTGTCAACACATTGTGTCTTGAGGACACAAAAGTAGTTCCATGTGGACTGAGGTTCATGAAAGGTTTGTAGTGGGAAGGCCTTTACCAGCAACTGAGGTCAAGCATTCTTAACCTGGCTTCCTGTTAAAATGACCCAGGTACTTGTCAGAGAAGTTGGTGCCACCTGGGCTGAGGATGACACTCAAGTGGCAGAGTAAATGCCTAGCACTTATGAGGCCTTGCTTTCAATCTCTAGCACCATCTCAGAAAAAAAAATGTTTTTATTGGTCTAGAATAGGACCTAATACAATCCAAGCCCACCTCCTAATCCAATCCCATGTCCTATGCAACTCCCCTTCTACATAGGGAATAAAGAGATTGTTACAGTCACTGGCTGTTAGAGTGTGGTGGACACTGTAAGAATAAGTCCGGGGTTTTCCTTTGGTCTGTCCAAATCCAAGAACCTGAGAGGAAACTGCAACCTATTCCTTAAGAGGTTTAAGTATATTCTCCCATCTGAAGTCTAGTATGACTAAAATGGGCCTGTAGCTGATACTGTTAATATGAAAAAATACACAAATTCAAGCAATCAATAATGGATTCGAGTTCAAAGTTCTAGGGGAAAAAAAGCATGCATTACATACATATCGAATAGTACATACTTACTGGATATATGAACAAGACACAGTTTTTGTCCCCCAAGTTCATTATCATTTATAGCTTTTTTTTTTAAAGAAATGCAACAAGAGCCCAAACTTTTATGACTTTTGGTCATAACAAGACATATGACGATCAATTTGATATGATACGATGTCAAGGGAAGAATTGGTCTGAATTAGAGTCCTCTGGATGCAGAGACATTTAGGAGGTTTTCAAGAGGGTCAGGAAGGGAGAGGCTCAGCTTCTCCACTGGAAGGGGAGATCTGACAACTTTTTGAGATGGATGCAGCAGCTTGAGGCAGATGGCTTCTGTGTTCCACGTACAAGTTGAAGTACACAGTGATGGTGTTTGACATTTACCAGATGTCATCCATTTCTGCACAGTCACTAACAGCCCACCCCACTGCAGACAATGCATTAGGCTTAAAATGAATAATCTGTCCAGGGCCTAAGTGTGGGATCTTGGTGTGCTCCCTATTGTATTTAGTTTTGTTTCATTTGGGACAGACTGAGACATATAGGAATATAGATAAGCATCCACCAAAACAAGTGAAACATAAAAACCCATAAATGTCAACCTTTATTTTATTTGACCTTTATTTTTTTGGTCAAAAAGGGAGACCCTCACTATTCATTTTATAGGTAATTAAGCAGAAAGTTGAAAACAAATCACTTTCCTTTTCCAGGGGGTCTGCCACATAGTTCAACTCCAAATTCAGCTCAGAGAATGTGATATTCAAAGAGCCTCATCCTAGTTACAGCCGAAAACTGAGATCTGAGGATCTCAGTTAAAAGCCAGTCTAGGCAGATAAACGTTAAAGACAGCTCCAATCCACTAAGAAAGTCAGAAATGGGGCTGTGGCTCAAGTGGTGGAACACTAGCCTTGAGCAAAAAAAAAAAAAGCTCAGGCCCTGAGTTCAAGCCCAGTACTGGTGCACACACAAGTGCCTGAAGTTTAATATAGTAGGTTAAATGTGTGTGTGTGTGTGTTGGGTTTTACAAGTCCCTTTGCCTACTAGGTGTTTTATTGTTTTTGCTGCAGGTCTAGTAAGACTGATTAGCTTATTAGGAACTGGTAAGCGATGGGGAGAAGTCGCGCGGGGCTCTAACCCTCGTGGCTGTCCCCCCAGGAGCGCGGGCTGTGTTCATCCAGCGGGGCGGGGGGGGGGGGTTGGTGCATTTCTGTGCAATCAGCCCGAACTGGACGCTGCAGGAGTTCAGGTTCCCGATGTTTCCATTTCATGTAGGGTTACTTTTCTTCTTCGGCATCTCGTTGCTTATCATTCGCAGGCCTGTGAGGACAGCGTATTCGTTGCTCCTCCGCCAGTGTGTCTTTAAAACACACACACTCTCTCTCTGTTCTTCTTCTGGTCTCACCGCGAGAGCCAGCGATCCCAAGGTAGTTCACCGAGGGGAACCCCAGGATCCGGACGTCCACCGCAGCCCGCCCGGCTCCTCTCGCTTGCGTGCCGGCGGCGGGCGCGGGCGGAGGCCCCGACGTGGAACCGCGCCGCGTACTCGGGCTCCGGGCCACCGCCAACTCCAGTTCCCGCGAAGCCCACACTGAGCGGGTTCAAGGAGCGCGCCTCGGGGCTCAGCACCTGGGCTGCTCCTCCGTCTTCCCCGCCGGCCGGGCAGCGCCTCGCGGACGCCGTCGGAAGACCTTCCGCCGCGGGTGGGCAGC